TTTAATACTAGTACTAGGAGGCAGAAGCAGGTGGATCTCTGGGAGATGGAGGCTATATAGTTAAGAACAAATTCTGGAGACAGGGAGACCTGTCTCAAAAAAGACCAGTGTCTCTCTGTAGCCTCGACTGGCCTGGAACTTGCTATGTAGACCAGGCTGGCCTTGAACTCACAGAAATCTGCCTTCCTTTGCCTCCCAAGTGCTTGGATTAAAGAATGTGCCACCACACCTGGCATATTTTTTAAGACTACATAAAACAAACCACTTTTATTGGGAAGACAGCATTGTTTCATGAGCTTTTACAAATCTGGTGACTGGCTGACTGAGTTATGTGGGTTCTCAGACTGCTGCCGTGTTCATTTCAGTTGTACCCTTGTTGAGAGATAAGAGACAGATATGTTAAAGTGTTGCTAGGATTTTTTTAAAGCTTCTTTGATAACTTTGTGCATTATATAAGATCTTTTGATCATTTATTATTATTATTATTATTATTATTTTGGTCATTTTGAGACAGGGTTTCCCTGTAGCTCCAGCTGGCCTGGAACCCACTATGTAGACCAGGCTGACCTTGATCTCACAGAGATCTACCTGCCTTTACCTCCTGAGTACTGCAACTAAAGGCATGCACCACCACACCTGGCTTATTATGATTTTTTAAAAGAAATGGATCTTGGAGTCTCACTGTGTTGCCCCACCATGTTGCCGATGCTAGCCCAATTTCTGTAGCTCAAGTGATCCTCCCACCACAGCCTCCCAATAGCTGGGACTACAAGTACACACCACTGTACCAGGCTTATTATGAAATCACTTAGAGCTCACACATCCTCCAAAAAGGGTCTTTTACACCCTGGGATTTCCTAGACCTAAAAGTGATTTTTCAGAGCCAGTGAGATGGCTCAGTGGGTAAAGCTGCTTGCCAGGCAGGCTTAGTGACCTGAATTTGATCCCTGGAACCTACCTAAAGGTGAAAGAAGAGAACCAACTCCACAAAATTGTCTTCAGACTTCCATACATGCTATGGCATGTGTGCCCCCCCAATCATATACATGCATTAATAGTAAATTTAATTTAAAGTGATTTTTCTAGTTTACATCAGAATATGAAAAAAATGGTAGAGTCTAGAAATTGGAGAATGAATTTTATTGTTGTGGTTTATAATACCTAAGTCTGAAAGAAAAGCTATGAAGTCTTAGTTTTAGCAGAGCCTACTACTTTGATAGGTGCTTCTTGAAAGATTTTTACTTCTATGTAATCTGCCTGGATATCGGGGATTCTGTAGCACAGTCATTTTTGCTGCTGCATGTTGACTTTATTAAACCCTTGGTTTTAAGTATGGGGAAACAGCAAAGCTCACTGCTTATGAAACAGTCAAGGTTTGTATAATTAATGAATAACCAGCTCTCGGCTCAGGTGTACATGATCCTGTCTTAAGTGTCCTGCTGCCTCATGCCTCTGACAACACTTTTGATGTTGCTTTCTAAAGATTAGATCCTAGATTTAGGGGAAAAAAATGAACTTTTTCATATTTTGGGTGCTGGGGCTGGAACACCTAGGACCTTGCTCTACTACTGAGGCACATTCCCAGCCCTTTCAGGATCTTTACATCTAACAAAAATAAATCTAAAAAACCGAAAAAAGTCAAAAGGCTTTCATCCATTCACTTATTTCATAGGGAAAGGTCAGGGCTGTATGAACCCTCCAGGTCTGTGTCCAGGACTCTAAGCATGTGGCCTGGGATCTCTGGCGGTCGGTGGTCAGCTGCAGCCCTTTTTGCAGCACAGGGACACATGCAGTGCAGAATTCTAGATCAAATGGTAACTGTTAGTTTTTTTGTTTTGTTTTTTTGGTCTTTTTTGAGACAGGGTCTCTCTGTAGCCCTAGCTGTGCTGGAACTCACTATGTAGACCAGGCTGGCCTTGAACTCACAGACATCTGCCTGCCTCTGCCTTCTGAGAGCTGGGATTAAAGGCATGTGCCACCACGCCCGGCGCTTTTTTTTTTTTTAAAGGAATTGCTGTCTGCCAGCTGCAGCCCTTACCTGCAGTAAGCCTCTAGAAGCCAGATTATTGTCTGTAGTAAGGGTCTTATTGTCTGTAGTAAGGATCTGTGGCATGCAGAGTCAAACCAACTTGGCTTACATGACCCATCACAGTTCATCCTTGAGGGAAGCTAGAACAGGAGTTCAAGCAGGAGCAGAAGCACAGATCATGAAGGAATGCTGCTTACTCTGGCCTGTGCTTTGCTTTCTTCTTTAAAACATTATTATTATTATTATTATTAATTTTATGTCTATGAGTGTACTGTCTGCATATGTGTAAGTGCACCTGTATCATGCAGTGCATACAGAGGTCAGAAGAGGGCGTATGATCCCCTGGAACTGGAGTTATAGACAGTTGTTAGTTGCAGTTGTTAGGTGCTGGGAATCAAACCTGGGTTGTCTGCAAGAGCAGCCAGTGCTCTTAACCACTGAGCCATCTCTCACGTCCCTCAGCTTCTTTCTTTCTTTTTTTTTATTTTTTATTTTTGGTCTTTTTGAGACAGGGTCTCCCTGTAGCCCCAGCTGTTCTGGAACTCACTATGTAGACCAGGCTGGCCTTAAACTCACAGAGATCCACCTGCCTCTGCCTCCTGAGTGCTGGGATTAAAGGCGTGCACCACCACACCTGGCTAATAAAATATTTTTTTATAAAAAGAGTTCACAGCTGAGCCTTTGGTTTCTTCCCCACAGGATAGTAAATATAGAGACTTTTAGAAGTTTCTTCTGAGCTTTCTTATGGAAACTCCCAAGCAGAGGGTTACTTTTGTGGCCTTAGTTCTTCAGTACTGTGTGGCTGTTGGCTGTACATTTGCAAAAGAAACAAAAGGAGTTTAGCTGGTTAGTTAACACTATGGCTTCACCAGTGGAAATTATCAGGTCATTCTAATGAGTTCAGCCCTCTTTGAAAACTTATTTATTGGGGCAGAGAAGATGGGTCAGTCAGTAAAGTGCTTGCCACATCAGTGCAAGGATCTCAGTTTTAATTCCCAGCTATAATCCCAGGATTCCTATTAACAAGATGGGAAAATGAAACCAGGAGATTCCCTGGTGTATGCAGTACAAACAACAGAGACCCTGTGTCAAACAATGTAGAAGGTGAGAACCAGCACCCAAGGATGTCCTGTGACCTCTCTGTGCACACTGTCATGTGCATACCTGCACTCAGACACACCTGAGCACATACATACATGCACATACATACATCATATACATACAAAATTAAATAAGATCTTATTTTTTTAAGTGTTGCTGGGGAATTGAACGCAGGGCCTCCTGATTGCTAAGCTCCTTTCTATCATTGAGCTGTGTCCCAACTCTATTAAATTAAATTAATTAATTTTAAGATAGTGTCTTACTGGGCCTGGAGAGATGAGCACTGGCTGTTCTTCCAGAGGACCTGGGTTAGGTTCCCAGCACCCACATGGTGGCTAACAACTGTCTCTAGTTCCAGGGCCTCTGCGGACATTGCTTACATGTGGTGTATTTACATACAAGCAGGCAAAATACTCATACACTAAAAATAATATGTTTTATTATTTTTATTTTATGTGTATGAGTAAAATTGCCTGTATGTATGTGAGTGAGTACACCATGTCATGCAGTGTTGCAGAGGTCAGAAGAGGGCTTTGGATTCCCCTGGAACTGGAGTTAAGGACGGTTTGTAGCTGCCATGTAGCTGCTGGGAATGGAACCCAGGTCCTCTGCAAGAGCAGTCAGTGCTCTTAACCGCTGCGCCAACTCTTCAGCCCCTGAGGTTTTTTTGGTTTTTTTTTTGAAGCAGGGTCTCCATGTAGTCCCAGCTGTCCTGGAACTCACTATGTAGACCAGGCTGGCCTTGAACTCACAGAGATACACCTGCCTCTGCCTCCCAAGTGTTGGGACTACAGGCGTGCACCACCACGCCCGGCAGAGGTTTTTTTTTTTTTTTTTTTTTTTCCAAAAATAGGATCTTACTATATAGTTCTGGCTGTCCTGGAACTCACTACATAGACCAGGCTGGCCTGGAACTAAAAGATCCACCGGTCTTGCCTCTTGAATGCTGGGATTAAAGCTGTGTGCAACCACACTTAGCCTTATTTTTTTAATTTGGGGTGGGGGGATCCTAAAGCTTCAGCATGGTGGCATACACCTTTAATCCCAGCACTTGGGAGGCAGAGGCAGGTGGATTTCTGTGAGTTCCAGGCCAGGCAGGGCTACATAGTCAGAACTTGTTTAAAAAAAAACCCAATTTTGGGGGCCTAGAGAGATGGCTCAGCGGTTAAGAACACTGGTTGTTCTTGCAGAAGACCTGGATTTGAATCCCAGCACCTACATGGCAGCTAACAACTGTCCATAACTCCAGTTCCAGGGAATCAGTCTCTTCTGTTCTCCGCCAGCACTGCATGACATGAGTGCACTTAACGTATGTGCAGGCAACACACGCATACACATTATAAAATAAAAATAATATTAAAAAAAATTTTTTTTTAAGTTTGTCTTGTTATTGTTGTTCTGAGATGGGGGGGTCTCATTATATAGCCCAGGCTAGCCTCAAACAAGAACTTCCTACCTCAGCCTTTAGATTGCTGGGATTACAGGAATGTGCTCTTTGCTTTGACTCTTAGTTTTTTTGAACCAGGGTCTCCTGTTGTCTGGCCTTGAATTTGCACTCCTCCTGCCTCCCTCCAAGCTATGGAGTTACAGGTGTATTCACCACCAGTGCTTTTAACACATTTTGTTTCTGTTTCATTTTAAATTATGTGTATATGTATGGGTTTGTGCACATGAGTGCAGTGCCCACAGAGGCCAGAAAAGCACACTGGATCCTCTGGAGCTAGAATTACAGGTAGTTGTGAGTCACCTGATGTGGGTGCTAGGAACCATGGTCCTCTGTAAGATCAGTATGTGCTCTTAACCACTGAGATATCTTTCTACTCCCATGCCAGTCCTTTTTAAATTTAAACTTTTATTTTTTATTTTTCAGGTGTTAAGGATTTAACCCAGGTGTTAAGGATTTAACCCCACAGACATGCTAAGTACCACTGAACCACTGAGCTACATGTAGCCCACGGTAGGGTATTCTAACTTCTACCCCTTAGGTTATCTGTGCTTTTCATTGCCTTTGAGCTATTTTATAACTGTAAGTTGTAGAATACAGACATAATGCAAAAGAGTTTGCCCGTAGAGCAGCACATGTACTTTGCCCACCGAAGTGCAGTTATTACCTTACAGATATTGACCCATTTTGCATGTGTCTGTAAATTCTTTTCCTCTTTTATTTCCCATTGTCTGTGCATATATTTCTTTTGACTCTCAAATTGTTTTATGTATTTATTTTATTTTTGTTTTTTAATTATTATTTTTTATTTTATATGTATGTGTGTTTTGCCTGCATGTATGTAACTGCACCCATTTTGAACAATCCCCGCAGAAGACAGAAGAAGGTGTCCAATCTCCTGGAACTGCAGTTATGGACAGTTGTTAGCTGCCATGTAAGGTGCTGGGACTCGAACCAGGGTCTTCTGCAAAAATAGCCTTTGCTCTTAACTGGTGAGCCATCTCTCTAGCCCCTTGTTTTGTTTTTGAGTCATGGTTTCACTATGTAGCCCTGGTTGATCTAGAACTTGATATCTAGGCCAGGCAGAACTTTACCTCATGGAGATCAGCCTGCCTCTGTCTCCTGAGTGCTGGGATTAAAGAAGTACATCATCATGCCTGGCTTTATTTTTTTTAATTCAGATCAGGCTTGCCTACAACTCACTGTAGCAGAGGATGACCTTGACCTTCTGATCTCTTGCTTCTACTTCTTGAATGCTAAGATTGCAAGTATGTGCCATCACACCCTGTCTTTTGTGATACTGGGGATCTCAGAACCCAGGGCTTTGTGCATGCTAGGCAAGCACTCTACCAACTGAACTGTATCTCTAGGCCTTGAATAGTTTTACATGATACTGTTTTCTCAAATAATGAGTTAAGAGGCTAAAGTGGTTAAGATCTTTGTCTGCTCTTGCAGTAGACCTGGGTTCAGTTCCTAGCACCCACATGGCAGCTAACGACCATCCTTAACCCCAGTTCCAGGAGATCCAGTGCCCTCTTCTGGCCTGTGTGTGCATTGCATGCATGTACTACACTTACCTATATGCAGGCAAAACACATAAAATAAAAATTAAATAAATAAACAAAATTAACTTACTCATTTAAGAAGATGGAAAACTCATTGTGTTTTTCTGGTTATTTCTTGGGTATTCAACCCTGAAGCTGGGTGATTTTCTCTTCTCCAGAGCGCCTCTTGGTGGTGTCTGTGCTCTGCTTTCAGCCCTGGCACCTGGATATCTGATGAGTAAATGATTCGGTTCCTATCATAGAATGTGATTTTCTTCATAGTGTGTATCACATTTCTAGTGATATATTTGTATGGATAAGCTTTACCAGGGTAGGGACACATGCATCTCTCAGCTCTGTGTGTAACACAGGCACCTTGAACAAGTGCACATCTGGCCACTGGTGGATGTCAATCTGGAGCAGAGTTGGTCTCTCCCAGCCTTGGTCTCATGTGCTTGAGTCCACACAAGGTTAAAGTCTGTGTAATGTTCAGGGACAAAGGAAGATTCGTTTATTACCAAAGAAATTCCAGGAGTCAGCTGTGAGTTGGGACCAAGAGAAGAGGCTGGGCAGGGATAGGCTGCCCTGCTCAGGTTTGGGCCTCCTGAAGACTTCCCTTCCACAAGTGCTTGTGTGTCCTTTCTCCTGCTTGGTGTGGTCCAAGCCTGCACTTCGGCCATGTGGGATAGGGTCTTTTGAATTTTTCAGTTAATTTAGGACGTTTGGCCTCCATGGTACCAGTGAGGCTCCTGGGGCCTCAGAAAAGGGGAGTGGAGTCTGAGTAGACCCATGTGAACTGTCTGTTGTCTCCTACTCATGACAAGTTTGGCCCAGTGGTGAATGCTTACCTGCCCCTCACCTCTACAGAGGTGTCCTACTTTAGGGCATGCGTCCTGTCTCTGCAGACTGGAACAAAAACAAAAGGCAGCTCCATCCCAGCCAGTGTGTTGCCCAGGCCCAGTGAGATACGGGCTATGAGCATGCTTGGTGTTTTTGTTTCTTTTGATTTTTTTTTTGAGACAGGGTATTACTATGTAGCCCAGGCTGGCTTCAAACTCATAGTGATCCTTCTGCCTCAGCCTCTCTGTGCTGGGATTAGAGGTGTGCTGTACCATAGTACCATGCCTGGCTATACACTATGGCTGCTTGAGTTTTCCTTTTTTTTTAAGATGATCTCTCTGTAGCCTCAGCTGGAACTTGCTTTGTAGATTGGGCTAGCCTTGATCTCACAGAGATTCGCCTTCCTCTGAGTGCTGGGATCTGGTAGTCACTGACAGCTATGATCACTGAGGCATTTGCAGAGGATAAGAACTGCTTTTGCATTTGTCTCAGAATTCTGGGTTTAGTAGGAGACGTCATACAGGGTGCGCATCATGGCCTTTTAATTTTTGTATTGTTATTTTTATTGTGTGCATATGATGTAGAGGTACATGCCACAGCACGTGTGTGTGGAGGTCAAAAGAACTTTGTGGAATTGGATCTCTCCTTCCACCTTTAACATGGATTCTAGGGATCGAAGTCAGGTCATCAGGCTTACATGTTTACCAGCTGAGCTATCTTGCCAGCCCCTGGTTTTAGGGTTTTTTTAAATATATTTTAATTTCTTTTATGTGTGTGCATATACTGCCTGCATATATGTAAGTGCACCCATGTCTTGCAATGCCCGCAGAGGTCAGAAGAGGGAGTCAGATTCCCTGGTACTGGAGTTACAGATGATTGTTAACTGGCATGTGGGTCTTAGGAATTGAACCCAGGTCCTCTGCAAGAGCAGCCAGTGCTCTTAACTGCTGAGCCATCTCTCCAGCCCCTGGTTTTAGTTTTTTGAAGCGTCTCCATACTGCTCTGCTACACTAATTTACATTCTTAGAAACAGTGTGTAAGTTGAATTGACTTTTTTTTTATGTTTGGTAGCTCTAAAATCAATTTTTTTTTTTTTTTTAAAAAGGACCGTTTTTAAGATAGGGTTTCTTTGCTGCCCCTGCTGGCCTTGAACTTGCTATGTAGCCCAGGATGGCCTCAGTCTCACAGAGATCTGCCTACCTCTGCCTCCCAAGTGCTGGGATTAAAGGCATGTGCCACCACGCTTTTTTTTTTTTTTTTTTTTTTTTTAAAGAGTACACAGTTGTTCAGGAAAAAGCGATGGGGAGATATGAGAGGAGTTGGAGTGGAGGGAGTGGGCATGGACTTGATCAAAATACCTTATAAGCATGTATGAAATTCTCAATTTTTTAAAAATTTAAGAACTTTAAAAAAAACTTTTTTTTTTTTTTTTCCAGGCTGGGAGTGGTGATGAATACCTTCAGTCCCAGAGGCAGGCAGATCTCAGAGTTTGAGATCAGCCTGGTCTACATAGTGAGTTCCAGGCTAGCTTAGGTTACATAGTGAGATTCTCTTTCAAAAGAAAGTCCTTGACTGGTGAATAGGAGGAAACATGAAAGAGAAGTAAAGGCAAGAGTAGTTAGCATTACAAGTTCTAGATAGGGAACCAGAAAAAAGTCAAAACAGGGCAAATTTCAAATATTCATATCAGAGTCCATTGGAATTTCTTGACGAGAGCTTCCAAAAGCATCCCTCCATTGGGTCCCTCCTCATTTTTCTTTTGTCTGCCAAGGCTGGACTTGAGAGTGATGGACTCAGGATTTGTTTTTAGGCACTTTGATAGCTGTTGGAGTGACTAGAATCAGTGTCAGTTCCCTTGCAAAGGCTTCACCACATGAAGGCAGGATTCAGGCACTCTCAGGCAGTCCTCTGAGTTTTCAGTCTCTATGCCAGAGGGAGGCCAGAATTGACACTCTAGCGGTCTGCTGAGATCTCAGCCCCTACGATGGAGGTGGGAGCAGGCACTCAGGCAGCCTAGAAAAAATTTTAAACTCAGTTCTTAGTTGGCTTTTGTCTGGTCAGTTTGTGGAGGTTATTGGTTTGGCATATGTGTCTTATGGAAGAGTTCATCTTTTGTATAGTTGTCAGATATATTTTCTTTATATTTCAGGAGGTCTTGCTTTACATTTGATTAATTTTTATTTGCCCACTAAAATCACATATCCTGGGAGAGGAAACACTGGCTGTTACTTATTAGCTCTGTGCACTCAAAATTATTCCCAAACTCTATTTTCTCTCCATTTAGTCAGAATCAACATTGGTCACTCAGCCTCATTGTGTGGATAGAAAGAGAGGAAACGCTTTGGCATTAGGAAGGGGGCTGTGGCCCGGTAAGACAGACTTCTTTCATGGAGGGGAGCAGGTGTGTTTACTTTTGTGGGAAACTCATTAACTAATATTAATTAACTGTATAGTAATCCACATGCCAGGTGCTTAATGACAGTCTTCCTGAGTGTGGGTGGGAACACTGTACTCATGGAAGACTGACCTAGGGGTGCCCAGCTCAGTGCCTGGCAAGTCTACAAGGAGGAAAACTGCAGACCTGACTCGCTTGCTGCCGTGGAAGGCAAACAAAGGAACCCTGGCTGAGAGCCAGCAAGGTGGGATGTGGGAGGTGACCTCAGCTGCAGGTGTGGGAACTTCCCTGCAGGGGTCCCACGGGAGGACTTGCTGCAGGGGGACACCAACACCCTGTACATGTCCTCTTCCAGGTTGTCTCCCCAGACCCTGCGTGCCAGAAGTGGTTGGAGCTCCACAGTGCTGCCTGTGCCATGGACTCTGAGGTTAGCCACTGGTGTCTTTTGCCCAAGTGCCTTGGCGGGGAGGGCAGGGAGAGCGGAGAGCAAGATGGCCAAAGGTCACCTTGTTCTTCCTGGATGTCCCTGTTAGTGATGATGCAGCCTAACCCCTCACTGACAGGTCTCCAAAGACTCACCTCAGATTTCCAACAGACTTTGTCTCTGGATCCCTGAGCCTGTACCAGCTCTGTGGGTGCCTGGGAGTATGGGGAACTCAATGTGGACTGGAACATCCTTCCAGGGCAGAGCAGCAGGACTTTTGGCCTGGCAGACATGGCAGGGGTAGCACAGAGGCAACGCGTCTGTGAACAGAAATGATTTGGGGCACTCCTACTTGCCCAGTAAGGGGCTGTGATGGGTGTGGGCAATAGTATTCTGTGATCCTGCTTGCTGTTACCTCCTGCACAACCCAGTTACCTCCTGTACAACCCACTGTCCCAGGCCTGGGGTCACAGTGAAATGCTGAGATTTCCTCCTATGTCCTGACATTTGGCCTTTCTTTTTTTTTTACTCCATCAAAACTTGTGATGTTTCTGATGTTTTTTTCCCAGCTTTATTTTTATTATTATGGTAAAATAACATCAATTTTTACCATTTCAACTATTAAGTGTACTGCTAAGGGGCATTAGGTAAAGCATGTTGTGTCTCAGCTTCCTTGGACTGCAGAGCCTCGTTGTACAAGAGCTGCCAGGTTTAGATACAGCAGAGCTTTAATATAAAGGATGTCCTCTTTTTGGAGTTTTTGTTTGGTTTTGCTTTTTGGAGTAGCCCCAGCTGTTCTGGAAATCACTATGTAGACCAGGCTGGCCTTGAACTCACAGAGATCCACCTGCCTCAGCCTCCCAAGTGCTGGGACTACAGGCGTGCGCCACTATGCCCAGCTTTTTGTTTGTCTTTTTGAGACAAGCTCTCCCTGTAGCCCCAGCTGGCCTGGCACTTACTATGTAAACCAGGCTGGCTGATCTCACGGAGATCCACCTGCCCCTGCCTCTTGAGTGTTGGGACTAAAGGTGTGCGCCACCACGCCAGGCTTGGGGAGTAATTTTGAAGAAGGCTGAAGAGCATTATTTATGTACTGCATGGCCACCAGCCTATTGGTAAAAACAGCAAGCTCCATGTTCAGTGAGAGACCCTGTTTCAAAGGAATAAGATAGTGATAGAGGAAAACCACCAGCTTCCTCCAGCCTTGCATGCATATGCATGGACACACACACATTTTTGCTTTTTTATTGCCTATATCAAGGACTCTGGACAGCAGTGCTCTTGCCTGCCCTTCTGTCTTTCACTTCTCTTACAGCCCCCTGTGGATGCCTGGCACCTGTCTGGGTGGGTTTGGGAACCTGAGTGTTCTAGGCTTTGCTCCCTTTTTCATTATGAAGCTGGGATTCCTCTGGGTTCTTGTAGGTGCAGAAGTTGCAGTTGCTGTTTGCAGAAAGGCTGGTCCCAAAGGCAGTCATCTCATTAGCAATGCCTTCTGCTCCCAGAGCTCTAGGCCATCCAGTGCTCCTCCCCCAGTGCTGCTGTCCCACTGCTCTTCTCAGTGCTCCTCCCCTAGTGCTGCTTCTAGGTGATGCTTATGGACATTCCTACCAAGATACAGTTGAAGAGTAGAGGCCTCTGAGCAAGTTCCTCTCTGTGGGATGCTGACTAAACACACATATACCAGAATTGGAACAAGCTAGGGCAGAGATTGGCCTTGGTCACCACTCCCTAGAATTTGTTGAGAATCTTTGCCTGACAATACAGGTTCACAAGGAGGTCATGGAAGAAAAAGGACTGCTAGCTGCTAGGAGCATGGTTAGTGAAATTAGGCACTAGGCAGCGAGGGGCCGTGTGGTTTGGGAAATGTACACAAACATATGAACAGAATCTAAATGGTGACATTTGCCTGGATTCCCTGAGATGTTCTGCATACTTTACCCTGAAACAACTTACACAGCCATCTGTTTTCAGGAGGCTCTACAGATGGTGGTGAAACCATCTTCTACAGAACTGGGGCTTGCTCCTTGGCATCTGAAGGTGGCATTAGTTGAAGAGGTACTATAGACTGTGCCTCTGCCCATTACCAGCTCACATAGACCAGTGAAACTCTTAGATTTAACTGTGCCCTGACCCAAGCTCCTATGAGCCTCCCTGACTTCCCTTTCATCTTAGGTCAGCAACGGCTCAGGCCTGGAAGCTGAGCACCTCACAGACCTGCTTGTGTTTGGCTTCCTCCAAAGCTACTCTGACTATAGTTTCTACCAAGAGCTGGAGGCACTGGGCCAGAAACTGCCCGTGCGAGTTTACCTGCAGGACCAGGACGATGAGCTGCAGACTGATGGGAACCGGGCCAGCCGCTACTTCTCCCAGGAAAGAATAGAGCCAGGTAGGAAACTGGTCTTGCCCACTTGATCCCAAACCTGGGCTTTGCTGTCACCCAAAGGCTACAAGGGGCTTGGGAGTTCAAGTCTCCTGCCCATGTATGCATGGCACAGCACTCTGGTCATGAAGTCTGTGCTTGATTCCTCCAGTGGTGCCCAACTCATTGTCAAATTTTGGGATGACTGTTAGAAAGTTCTTTTTTCTAGCTGGGTGTGGTGGTGCATGCCTTTAATCCCAGCACTTGAGAGGCAGAGGTAGAGGCAGGTGGATCTCTATGAGTTCAAGGCCAGCCTGGTCTACATAGCCAGTTCCAGGCCAGGTGGGGCTACAGGGAAACCCTGTCTCAAAAACACCAGAAAACAACAAAAACAAAAAACTTAGCCAGGCATGGTGGCACACGCCTTTAATCCCAGCACTTGGGAGGCAGAGGCAGGTGGATCTTTGTGAATTCGAGGCCAGCCTGGTCTACATAGTGAATTCCAACACAGTTGGGGCTACAAGGAGACCCTGTCTCAAAAAGACAAAAACAAACAAACAAAAAACCAAAAAACTTTCTTCTGATGAGCCCTATGGTCCCTTCAGGTCTACTCCTGGTTCTCCTGTCTCGACTGATTAGACAAGTGTTTTACCGTACTTCTCAAGCAATTATGATATAGCCAAAGATTGGAAACTGATCTAGATTCTGTAACCCAAAGGAGCCTCCAGTTGGGCTTATGAAATATCAAAGACTGAGAAGCTTTGAAAAGTAGTGAGGCAGGAGTCACACCTCCCTGCATTCTGATTTGTTATATCTGGTGCCTTGCCAGTCTGGACATGACCCTCAATCAACTCTTAACAGCACCTTGAGCAGGCCTAGCTGACTTCCCAGTCCAGTGAGATCTGACTTTTTAGTAATTTTTGCATCCTATATGGAACCTTGAACTGTAACATATGTGACTTTCAGTCACATAGGAAATAACCACAGCACTGAAGTATTCTATCATTGCCAAATGAGGGAACTGAGGCCCAGCAGGGTAATGACTAGCCCCAGAGAAAACTGCAGGTGCGTCAGAAACAAGATTCAGTCAGGCTATTCCTTAAGCTGAATGCAGTTACTGCCTGTCGTCCTGTGCCCACTCCATCTGCATCCAGACGTTGCCTTTCCTAAGCCTAAGCCTGGGGCTCTTCCCAGCCCGTGTTTTTACTTCCCATTGCTCCACTGCTGTGTTTGCAGGCAGTTGGTAGCTATTCTCAAGAGTGAGATGTGTTGAGGTTCACATTGCAGCCCAGAGCCCTGGTTCTCAATAACATGCACATTGGCATTATGTACGGAAAGTCTTTGAGATGTGTAGTTCTAGGGCCCTGCTCCAGCCAGAGCCAGCATGTTTCCAGGCTGGAGACTCCCAGATTATTCTTTTAAATATATATTTTTATGTGTCGGGCGAGGTGGTATATGCTTTTAGTCCCAGCACTCAGGAGGCAGAGGCAAGTGGATCTCTGTGAGTTCAAGGCCAGCCTGGTCTACATAGCAAGTTCTAGGCCAGCTGGGGCTACATGGAGACCTGTCTCAAAAATATTAAAAAAAAACCCAAAGTTTTGATCTAGCTATGAATTTATTTGTATGGATATGGGTGTGTGAGCCCTAGCATGCGTATAGAGGTCAGAGGACAACTTGTAGGAGTCAGTTCTCTTCCTCTATCGTGTGGGTCACTGGGATCGAACTCGGGTTCTCAGGCTTGGCAGCAAGCACCTTCACCCTCTGAACCATCTCATTGGCCTCCAGATGACTTGTGACCCTAGTTGGAATCACTGTCCTGTAAACCTCCAGTACTCTGAGGACTTGGACCTGGCCTAAGCCTTCCAACCTTGCTGGCCAAGGGCTGGAGATCGAGCTTACAGGTAGTTAGGGTTCACCACAAGCAAGCAAGCAACCACAAAATAATCAGCCTTTCAGGCCAAACCTAGCACCTGCTTTTAAGCTCAGCTGTCCCAGTCTCAGCATAGAGCCTACACTGTCCTTTAATGGCTGTGAGGGAGACCAGCAGCTGGTTCAGCCTTTACATTTATGTATTCATTCATTCATTCATTCATTCATTCATTCATTCATTTTTGAGACAGAGTCTCACAACAAACTTCTGGCTGACCTGGAACTCTCTATGTGTAGACCAGGCTATCCTCTAACTCATAGAGATCACCTGCCTCTGCCTCAGGAGTGTAGTTTAGTCTTTAAATTTCCTGCAACTTAATCTTTTTAAAAATATTTTTTTATTTATTATTTTTATTTTATGTGTATGCGCGTATTGCCCTGCGTGCAGGTAAGTGCACCCATGTGCAATGCCATGGAGGACAGAAGAGGCTGTCAGATCCCCTGGAACTGGAGTTATGGGCAGTTGTTAGCTGCCATGTGGGTGCTGGGATTCAAACCCAGGTCTTCTGCAAGAACAACCAGTGTTCTTAACTGCTGAGCCATCTCTCCAGCCCCAGCAACCTAATCTTAAATTGAGTAGACTGGGGTGTGGCCAGTGTTACCCACCAGCGAGGGTATACCCAAGACTTTTTCTGCCTTCGAATCCCACCAGTGAGCCTTCTGGCTGGCCGTAAACTGAAAAGCACCAGTTTGTCTTGGGAAAGCATAGGAAAGATTGGCTTTCTGTACAAGTCTGTCTCCCGCCCCATGCTTTCCCCTGCTTATTTCTTTTTTTATTTTATTTTATTTTATTTTATTTTTGTCTTTTTTTTCTGGAACTCTCTATGTAGACCAGGCTGGCCTTGAACTCACAGAGATCCACATACCTCTGCCTCCCCAGTGCTGGGATTAAAGGCCTGCGCCACCACGCCCAGCTTATTATTTTTATTTTATGTGTATGAGTGTATCGCCTGCATGTATGTGAGTGCACCCGTATTGTGCAATGCTGCGGAGGTCAGAAGAGGGCTTCAGATTCCCCTGGAACTGGAGTTAAGGATGGTTCGTAGCCACCATGTGGGTGCTGGGAATTGAACCTGGGTCCTCTGCAAGAGCAGTCAGTGCTCTTAACTGCTGAGCCATCTCTTCAGCTCCTCCCCTGCTTATTTCTACACCAGCCCTTGTCTTTAGATTGCAAAGCCTGGCTTAATCAAAAAGACATCAGCAAAAGTGTCTATGGAGCTGTACACTTGACCTCACTGGGGCTTAGGAGGAAACTGGCCTGTATTAAATACCCAATCAGACTTGGAAGTAGGGCAAAATGTCTTTAGTCTGGCACAGATCAACACCAAGGAAACTCAGGGACAGGTGATCTACTGGGAATCAGGAAAACACTTCATGGCTACAGGTATGGTTGAGCTGGCCTTGAAAGGTGGGTATCATGAGGCTCTTGGCAGATGGAGCAGAGGAAAGAGCCATGACTTATGTAGAAGCCCAAAGATGGGAAATCCCAGGGCCCACGGAAGGCAGAGTGAGCAGTTGAGTTTGGCTAGAACACTTGAAAAGTTGTAGAAGTTAAATCACAGGGAATTGGAGGTTAGGTAGTGACTTGTCACTCAAGCAGAAGTGAGCATTGGGAAGGTCCTGAGGAGAAAAGTGTGGTCCATAGACATGCACCCAGAGCAAGACTTCATGAGGGCTAGGAATGCAGCTCATCACAGCTCGTCGCTAGAGCACTTGGCTCACTTGTGGCTTGTGTGAAGCCTGGGGTCCCCTCACCCCCACCAATAAAGACTACAGTGACACAAACAGAACCCTAGAACACAGGGTGGAAGGAGGCCCTCATTGCCAACGCTGAGCATTGTGGGCTTCTCCTCACCTCCTTAAAGTGGGCCTCCTCAGGGCCTAGCTGACTGTAGACTCTTTCTGGTTCTGAGATCCAGCAGTACATGAGAGCTGTTGAGCCTGCACTGTGAGATCAGGTCTGACAGCTGACTGAGGATATTCAGTTCATAAATATTCATATTTGTGAAGCCAGGGGGCCATCACAGAAAAACTATAGTGATATTTACTGTGTACTTTTTAGGAGCTAGGTACAAGTTTGTTCATTCATTCATTCATTCATTTGTTCATTCATTCATGCAGTTGTCATGCATTGTTCTTAAATACTGGGTATCTGATGGTGTACCAAAAAGATTTAAAAATTGGTTTTTCAGAAGATGACATTTGGCAGTCATGTCGGACAACAGAAATAGGTAAAAATGTATAGTAAGTGCCAGGAAGAGAGGGAAAGGGAGAGTGGATTGGGACAGGAGGAGAGCAGGGAGCCGAGCTGTGGGGCGGGTGGGCAGCATCCAGGCAGAAGGACAGCTTGAGGAGAGGCCAGTGAGGGGAGAGGACTTGGGGCAAGTCCCAGTTGACAAGGTCTACACATCACAGTGCCAGGGAGGAGTTGCAGAAGCTCTGGAGTTTTACAGAGATTGAGAGAGAAGACAGCTACACTGCCACACTGAGGTGGAGGATGTTTGGTCCCTGGGCAGAATGGGGCAGAGCCCCTTACCTAGTGGCTTCTGAGGCTGATCCCAGGCTCGTCTCAGCAATCCCGCGGTCAGGAATGCTGCAGCTCTGGGCCTATTTCAGGGCAACTGTGAGCCTGTGGTCCAGGGCAGGCCTGCTTTCTCTATCTGGCTTCTGTTCCCTCAGCACTTTCTCTGGACCAGGCATGCTGTAGAGGTAGGAGCTGGCCTGTCCTAAAACAGAAAACTTTCCTGTGTCTGGGGTGGCCAGAAGTGGCATGAGGCTCTTGACCAGGACCACTACTGAATCTTCTTTGTATTTACTGCCCACTGTGTACATTCAGATTCTGAAAGTCAGGAAGAAATCATCCAGAACATTGCCAGGCATCTCGCTCAAGTAGGGGATGAGATGGACCACAGCATCCATCCGACACTGGTGAGACACCTGGCTGCACAGTTCATGAACAGGAACCTGTCAGAGGAAGTAAGTAGGGGGCCTACAGCTCAATAGCACCTCTTCTGGGGGACTTGGGAAGTGTGGGGGATTTTCCTTTGTTGAACCACAGACCCCTCCCAGAAAGTAATTCTATTCCTGACTACCTACTGGGAACCCTGACAGAATTGGAAATGGAGTCCTAGCATGGTCCCTCAGAAGAATTCAGTTGGTCGAGATTAGGACTCCTGAACCTTAAGTGATGAGTCCACAGTTTGGGAAGAAAAGTCTCCAGAAAGGGTAGACTTAACTCTTGTGTTCTGCACAAAGATGCCAGGAGGGAACTTGAAGTTGTTTTCTCTAGGTGTGACAGAAGAGCTGATCACAGAGCCTGCTCCTCTTATTGGCTTTGTGGTTGTAGTCAATGCATAATTGCTGGACTCCCAAGCAAAGCTTGCTCCTCAGCATTGGATCCTTCCTGAAGGAGGGCAAGAGCACCACCCCGAGGCTGCGAGGTGCCTGCCTCTGTAGAGGCAGCAGAGGGAAGAACCTGTTCTCGATTTCTACCAGCTGAAGTCATGGGTGCTTTCACCATCCAGGAGTTCATTCCTTGACCCTTCTGACTTCCATGCAGCCTGTCTCTGGCTGGCATTCTCTCTGCCTGCCACTCGCCAGCAGCTCTTGTAGAACACGGAAACATGTAGCAGTGCACTGCCCTGGGACTCCTACAGGATGAATTTTGCAAGTGAGCCACTGAGCTGGAAGGTCCTTTTAAGTGCAGGAGCCCCACTTGAAGGAAAGGCAACATGTAGCCCCCAAAGCTAGGTGCACACAAGGAAGACCAGCCTAAGACATTCTCATGGATGCGTCTTGTAATCCTGTAAGCGTTTTGGGGCAGAGAATGACTGAGGCTCCTGTATTTCACTAACTAGAGTGCACAGGGCTTGGTAAACATGCATTGGTGATTGAGTGGCCCCACTTCCCTCGCCATTGCCTTGGGAAGCTGAACTGTTTGCCATTCCATCTACCTAACACTCTTAGCTATTTAATCACCACTTCCCTCTGAAAGACTTTTCTCCTTTCTACTGGAGATAGTCTTTCTTTTAGAGGGGAATGAATATAGGGGCTGGAGAGATGGCTATGTGGTTAAGAGTACTAGCTGCTCTTGCAGAGGACCCAGGTTCAGTTTCCAGCACCCTCATGGTGGCTGACAACCACCTGTAACTCCAGTACTAGGGAATTCAGCACCCTCCTATGGCCTCCATAGGCATCACATGGCATGGGTGCACTTACAAATATGCAGGCAAGCCGGGCGTGGTGGCGCACACCTTTGATCCCAGCACTTGGGAGGCAGAGGCAGGCGGATCTCTGTGAATTCAAGGCCAGCCTGGTCTACATAGTGAGTTCCAGGACAGCTGGGGCTACAGGGAGACCCTGTCTCAAAAAGACCGAAAAAAACCCAAAAAACAAAAAACAAAAACCCAAATATGTAGGCAAATGAAACACATGAAATAAAAATAATTCTTGAAGAGGAGAGAATATTAGTAAACTGTTTTTCTTTAATTCTGTATAGGACAGAAGGAACTGCCTGGCAACAGCCCTAGAGGAGATAAGGAAGACCTACCCTAAAGACATGGAGACTGAGAAGGCTGCACTGATAATGACCATGCTATTGGCCAAAAAAGTGGCTGATTTCAGGCCATCCTTGCTCCATGATGTCTTTCGCACAACAGTGAACTTTATTAACCAGAACCTATTCACCTATGTGAGGAACTTAGTCAGAAATGTAAGAACCAGTGATACCAGCCCCTAACCTTCTCATGGGGTCCTTGGTCTCTGCCTTCTGCCCGCCCCATTCTCCTCTTCAGAAACCCAGCAAAGCCCTCTGCTTCAGGCCCTCTCATTCCTCCTCCCCTGATGATCAACCATAGGCTGTGTTCAGAAGAGGATGAGGAGACATGTGGAGCATGAAGGACAGTGGCCGAGGGCCCAGGCTCAGCTCCCTTGGGCTACTCTTTACTGTCTTGGACTGGACCTAAACATAATTGTGTGTGATGTATGTGAGTGTGCGTGTGTACAGGTGTGCATGTGTGTGTGGTGTGCTTGCCCATGTGTGCATGTGTGAAAGCCAGAGGTCAATATCAGGTGTTTTTCCTTTATCACTTTTTTTTATTGTTTTTGAGACAGGGTCTCACTATGCCTGAAACTTGCAACGTAGATAAGATTGGCCTTGAACTCACAGAGATCTGCTTGACTCTGCCTCCCAGATGCCAGGATTACAGGTGTGCACCACCATGCCTTCTACCTTATTTTTTGAGATATGAGCTTGCCAATTTAGGTAACGCTGGCTGGCCAGTGAGCCTTGGGGACCCGCCTGTCGCCTGGCTTTTTTACATGGGTGTTGGGGATCTGAACTCAGGTCCTCATGCTTAACACAACAAGTGCTTTACCCACTGAGCCATCTCCCCAGCCCCACGCATAATTTAAATAGTTTAAAATGTTTTTATTATTAATTTATGTGTATGTGTGTGTGCATGTGTGCCACTGCAAAAGTGGAGATCAGATGACAACTTTGGGGAGTCAGTTCTTTCTTCCATGTGGCAGGGATTTAACTTGGGTCATCAGGTTTGGTGGCATGTGCATTTACCAAGGATGATAAAGGAAAACCAAGAGGAATAGTCAATAAATAAGTAAACAGAGAAAGACTACCGCAGTTCTCCCATAACCTGTCAACACTGTCATTACTACAGTAGTCAAGTGACTTTTATTTTGGTGGTACTGGGAATTGACCCCAGGGCTTTGTGCAGGTTAGGAAGAGCTCTAACATTAAGCTATAACCTCAGACCAAAAGTCAGCCTTAGGCTACTGCCCAAGAATATCTGATCCTGCAAATTTTACATTAGTCAGTGTTGGGGATTTTTTATTATTTTATATATATGAGTGTATTGTCAGCATGTGTACCAAGGCATCTGTCATGCAGTGCCTGTAGAGGTCAGAAGGCACTGGATCCCCTGGAACTAGAGTTACAGTTAGCTGCCATGTGGGTGCTGGGAACCAAACCTGGATCTTCTTCAAGAGTAGCCAGTGCTCTTAACCACTGAGCCATGTCTCTAGCCCCTCCTTAGTTTTTTGATGGTTTCTTTGGTTTTAGGGGGACAGAGGCCACACTGTAGCCCAGGCTAGCCTGAAATTCAAGGCAGTCCTCCTACCACATCCTCCTGAGTGCTGGGATTATAGGTGTGAGCCACCATGTTCATCTCACTCCCCACTCCCCAATCTTTTTGAAACAGGGTCTCCTTATAGCCTCAGCTGGTCTGGAACTTGCTATGTAGATCAGGCTGGCCTCAATCTCATAGAAATCCACTGACCTCTGTCTCCCCAGTGCTGGGGATTAAAGTCATTCACCACCACGCCTAGCCCTCCCCTAGTTTTTTTTTTTTAAACAATTTTCCTGTCACAGCCCTACCTTGACTGCACTCATCGTCACCTCAATGTTCGTGTAAAACTTTTTAAGAAAATATTTCATTTATTATCTTTATTTTATGTGTATGCGTGTATTGCCTGCATGTAGGTAAGTGCACCTATGTCATGCAATGCTGGCAGAGGACAGAAGAGACTGTTGGATCCCCTGGAACTGGAGTTACGGACAGTTGTTAGCTGCCATATGGGTGCTGGGATTTGAACCTGGGTCTTCTGCAGGAACAGTCAGTGTTCTTAACCGCTGAGCCATCTCGCCAGCCTTCCCTCCCGAGTTTTTAAAAAGAATAGTTTAACCTTCTTCATAGTTGCTGACAGGCCTTAGCTCTCGGCATACCCTCAGTGCTTTGGTCTTCAGTTATGTAGACAACTCTATAGCCATTTCAAGGACTGAAGGAAAAATGTCAACAGCAGTCTACATGGACAGCTTATCCAGTACTGGCAGGCTCAATGCCTTGCGTGATTCAGAGGGTTGTATACCCTGACTTGACACTTTGAAAGCCAATTTTTACAGCTGCCCCTTTTACTAAAGGTTGGGTGCAGGATCATAGGGCTCTGGAGAACATTTTTATACCAGCCCAGCTTTCCTGGAACTGCCTGTGGCATTTTTTTTTTTTTTAAAAAACAAAGTCTCATGTAGCCCAGGCCAGCCTCAAACTATCAATGCAGTGAACACTAAACTTCTGATTCTCCTCCTTTCACCTCCTGAGTGATGGGTGTGTCACCCATCACAAGTGTGCATCAACCTGGTTTATGGGGTTCCAGGATGTGAACCCAGATCTCCCTGCATCCCTGCATGCTAGGCAAGAACTCTACCCACTGAGCTACATCCCCAGCTCGATGCTAGTGTTCTTAAGCTGTGAGTCCTGGCTTGGGAATTCGATTAACTCTGGTTACTGTTCCTTTCTTGCCTAGGGCATGAACTGAAGGATGGACTTCAGATGCCTTGCAGAAGCATGACTGGCTGAAACTGGATATGGCAACAGAGTAGCTGCCTCCAAAGCGGGAATCATGGCTGTGTAAACAGATACTGGAGAGAAGACAAGACCCAGATAATAGCTATTTCTCCCTGTTTTCAGGATGGTTTGGGGGATTTTTTTTTTTAAATCTTTTTGAGACAGGTCTCCCTGTAGCCCCAGCTGACCTGAAACTTGCTATACAGACCAGGCTGGCCTTGAACTCACAGAGATCCATTTGCCTCTGCCTCCTTAGTGCTAGGATTAAAGACATGTGCCACTACACCTGGCTTCAGGATGATGTTTTAAGCTGGTGACCCAATTTAAATACCTACATTGAGATAGTCTAATGAAAATATCAACTTGCATGTATTTGAAGGGCTTTTATGTCATTTCTAAGATGTACCTTCACCTTATTTTAGCTATACAGGTTCCTACTTGAAAAGTAAGCTTAAAAGCAGACTGTGAGGCAGAAAAAAAAAATTAATTTCTCAGCAGTTACTGTTGATTAGACACCAACTTTGGTGTGTGGTCTCCACAGCAGGCAGTCTAAGGAGGACAAGGCTGGAAGATGTCTACCCAGTATAGGGAATGTCTTAGTACTCAGGCCACAGCCTTGTGTAAAAACCAAATAGTAAAGAAGCTCAGGACTGTGGTCTTGTTTTCAAACCCCAGGAATGCTGACCCCAATATATAGGAATTTAGCTTTTTCAGTTTGATTTGTTTGTTGTATTTTTTTAGATAGGGTCTAATGTAGCCAAGGCTATGTCTCACATTTACTGTGTAGCCAAAGCTGGCCTTGAATTCATAATTTTCCTACCACCATCCAGCCTGTGTATATGGTGGTAGGGTTTGATCCCAGGGCCTTGTACAAGTTAAGTAAGTGCTTTTTATCACTGAGCTATGTCCCCAATCCTTGGGTGCTTTGTATCTTGAGAAGAATCACAGGATTAAAGGTGTGATGGTATTATAAGTTCCCCTGTCATCTGCTGCCTCCACCTCTGTAAGGCTTTGATAAAAACTCTTCAGCTTTTGGACTTCAGGAGCTGCTACGTATAGCCACTGATAGCCTTGTGTTTTCAGTTTCCAGTCAGACCTCATCTGTGCCTGGAGGCTTCATCTGAAGGACACAGGCAGCAAGATGAAAGTGCAGTTAGACTTCCAGGTTGAGCGGCCAGGGCTAGGGAGTAGCCCAGGGATAGAGTGTCTGCTTAGCCCGGCTTTCACCCAGCACCACAAACAACAAACCAGCAGTTGAAGGGACGGAGCCAAAATACAAGTGACTACAAATCCAACTTACTTTAGGCAGGGCCAAAATCAATAAGACTTCTGTTTGAAGACCCCACCACACTGGCCCTTCCCACCTAGAAGCCTCAGGACTCAGTTCCTAACTCCAGCCATAGAGCCCCAGCTCATGTGCCCCTCCAACAGTGAAGTGCCTATTAGATAAACATCACTTCTTGCTACTTGATCTGTTTTTCTGTTCCTTAATAGTTTAAATTCATCAGAAAAGTACACATCAAAATAGGACTGGGCCACAATGTGATGTGGACCAAAGATTGAGTGCTAAAGGCATATCTGTGGCCTGTGTTGTGTGTGAAGGCCTCCATTTTGAAACAGCCTTCCAGTAATGCTATTGCTTCAAGTGTTTAGGAGTGAACATTTTTCCTCGAGCTTTCTATCCCAGTGGGAACAAAAAGAATCATGCACACATATTCATGTGTGGTCTTTTCACTCAAGTTTTTGCTAGGGGATGTATTTACAAAAGGAACTGAAATACCATAGTCAACCTAAATGAACAGAAGAGACAGCTGCAGTCCCAGACTCTCATGCTTCTAATTATTAGCAGTGTCTTCACTGCACTTAATACAGTACACCACTGTCTTAATAAAGTTCACTCAGGTTGTTTTCCAGGTTAAGTCTCATTTTTGGATTTTTGAGACAGGGTCTCCCTATAGCCCCAGCTGGCCTGGAACTCACGCCTTGGGATTAAAGGCATGTGCCACCATGCACAGCTGATATGCTTTGTGGATTAGAAAGCAAAAGTCTCACCCTCTCTCCTCAAGCTAACATTATAAAAGGATTCCACATACCAAAAACAAATGTTCCATACTTTCTCAGTCCTGGACTTAGAGGCATGAGCCACCACACCCCGCTAACTTCCAATCATGAACACTTCCCAGCCATGATAGCCATGGCGATTTGGGTGCTGTGGAAGTTGGTGGATCTCGCTCTAGTAACATGATTTTTGTGGGTATAATTAAGAGGTGATACTAATTCAGGGAATATTTCTCATTTTGTTTAGAAAATATGTGAATTGTTTTAAGTGAAATTTGTTTCATAAAAATAAAAAGCTTTCTTTTATAGATGCTTCGCATATCAGTGTCTCATGCACTATTTGGAAGATTCAGAAGGTCAGATTTTTCCTGACCTCACATCTCTCAGGATGCAGTATAAACATGCATACAGCTGCCTTGTGTGATAACCCCCAAGCCTGCCTTTGTTTTCCAGGAACTTCTTTATTCTTTAGTTGTGCTGACTGGGAACTAGGATATGGAGTAGTTTGCTCTTTTTAAAATACTATTTTCATTTTATGTGTATGAGTGTATTGCCTGCATGTAGGTAGGTGCACCCATGTCCTACAATGCCCACGGAAGCCAGAGGAGGTGCTGGATCCCCTAGAACTGGAGTTATGGATGTTATTAGCTGCCATGTGGGTGCTGGAACTGAAGGTGGTCCTCTACAAGAACAGCCAGTGCTCTGAACAGCTGAGCCAGCTCTCCTGCCCCTGGAGCGTTTTTGAATACCAGGTTCATGTTTTCGGAACTGAGAGTCAAAGCAAGAATACGTGTATTTATGAAGACTACAAAACAGATTGTCTGAAGTAATCCTACCTAAGGAGAGTAGTGAATAGAAAGATGAGTCACCAATTATCGTAAAATCTCATTTTATTGCCACCTCCAGGGTGTTCTCCCGAACACATTGCTTCTGACAAAAAGCACAGTTCAGACTTGAGTTTGGTTACTTCCCAATAAAGAGTAGATTGGCCACAAAGTAGACAACAGGATGGGAAAGGAGCCAGAACAATGTGCAATAAATTGAGCAAGTCAGACTGTGACAAGCAGTGCTAACGGAACACAAAAGGAACCAAGTGCTACCTGAGTTAAGTGTTGTTTTTTTTTGTCTTTTTGAGACAGGTCTCCTTGTAGCTCCAGCTGTCCTAGACCTCACTATGTAGACCAGGCTGGCCTCGAACTCACAAAGATCTGCCTGCCTCTGTGTTCATTTTTAAAAGATCTCATGTATGGAAGGCTGGCCTTGAATTCTTATGTAGCCAAGGAGGGCCTTGAACTTCTCATCTTCCTGTCTCCAGCTCCCAAGAACTGGGATTTCAGGGATGTACCACCATGCCCAGTTTATGGGATTCGGGACTCGAACCCAGGGCTTCACGCATGCTAGGCAAGCAGTCTTAACTGAGTTTCATCCCACCAACACTGTTAACTACCATCCCAGTATTTGGGGGAGACAAGATATTAGAGCCAGTAATAAATTGAGCTTTAATCAAGGGATGAACTGGGTAGAAAGAGGCACTTTCAATCTTAAGAAGAAAGACAAGAGACTACAAAAGCAGGAAATAAAGGTCCAAGGAAAATGTTTTCTTTTCCTTTGTGCTGCCCAACAAATGTCCCACATACACAGGACCAAACAGAACTGTTTAGACCTCAATAGTGAGGATGTGGTTCACCTTTCTAGGGAAGGTGACGCAAACCCATCATAAAATGTCAAAATGTGGGGCGAGCAAGATAACTCGGGGTAAAGGTGCCTACTGCCAACCCCAACAACCTGAGTTCAGTCCATGGGACCCATATGGTGGAAGGAGAGAATCAGATTTTGACTCCACAAGTTGTTCTCTGGTCTCTGCACACATACTGTAACACGTGGGTCCACCTATAAATGTCAGAATGTTTGCTTAAGTAGTATGTTCAGTAGTCAGTTTTTTCTAGTGATGCAAAGAACAGCTACTGCATGAGCAGTATCTGAAAAGTGTCCCTTTAGAGGAGAACAGGGAAGTCATCTGAGCCACTGCTACTCTGAACTTGGGCGGGCCAAGGCCTTGCAAGTGTCCCTGAGACAGCTCTGACCTGAGCAGCACTGAAGCCGCTGTCAGGCTGGGCCGTGTGTAAACCTGAACATGGGAAAGGCCCTAACAGGAACACGGCAAGCTCTAGGGATGTGTGAAGGAAGAGGACCAGGTGTGCTCATCTTTAGCAGTACAACAGCTTCCAACTCTCTGTGGAGCCCCTCTGGTTTTCTGTTTTTCAGACAAGAGTCTCCCTCTGCTGCCCTGGCTAGCCTGGAACTCACCCTGTAGGCCAGGCCTCAAACAGAGATTCCTCTATGCCTCTGCCTCCCAAGATCTGGGATTACAGATGTGCATTGCCATGCCTTGGTGGAACTCTTTTCAAGGAGGTGACTATAAAATTCTACATTATAGAATTGGTACTCCATAACCAAAGTTCAAATTCACATACCATTGTGCTGTGGAAGGGTTTCACTGGGATGTACTCTTGTCACCTGAGCAAGAAGATATGTTCTGTATTGTGTCTGAGTGTCAAGCAGCCAGTACTACCTTTAGGTGTCCACTCCTCCCTGTACAGGCCCACCCTGGGATGATGGTCTCAGCAGGGAACAAAAGACCAGAGGGATTAAAACCTAAGAAAAAAGAGGCAAGAGCCATGCCAGGTGCTGCCTTCACCTGCCATGTTCCATGCCTGGTGATGATTTATGTGTCAGATAGCTTGACTGTTTAGAGCAAGGAGATTTAACACTTTAACCAAGAACACTACTGGTAGATCACCAGCAGTGACAGCCACTGAGCAACTAAGGTTTCTTGTCCAACATGACCTGCAGCTCTGAGAAGCCCCACTTAACTTTCTGAACTTAATAGGCTCAGTACTTAGACCAACCTATACAGTATCTCCACAGAAATGAGAAAGGCACAGCACAAGTGACACCCAAGCTGCTGTGTGTAACAAACTGACCAGTTTGTAGGGAGCCTGCCAAGAGTGTAGGGTTGCAAAGACAGTAAGCTGGAAAAAGCACTCACTTCTCACTGCCTTGCCTCTGATGAGTAAGGACACTAGTAAAATCAGGGACCTCTGAGTAGTGGAGCCGCCACAGGGTTCAAGAGCCCTGTGGCCTCCGGCATGCTGTAAGTGCTCAGCCAGTTAGTTCAGCACAAGGACAGTTACCCACACAAGGCGCACTCAGGAGGACATTGTACTGTGGAATGCAAGTACCTCCTAGCTGGGGCCACCTCGCTGCAGATGTTAGTGCTGAAGTTCTGCTGAGTAAGATCATGCTGGGGAAGAGGGGTACAGGGCTGAAGGCTGAGCTCACTAGTGGCAAAAAGGCCTCTGGCCCTCTTGCTCTTAAGTGTCATCACTACCTCAAGTTCTGTGAAAGTGGAGTTCATGAGAAAAGACCTAAAGTAAGAGATTTTGTTTTTCTTAGCTATAAATCTTTATTTCTATAAAAGAGCTCTTAAAATAACGCAGTCAAATGTTCACGTGTCTCATCTTTAGGGAAAAAGGCACGAGCAGGCACTATATTTCATGACCAGAGAGGGTAAGCACAACGGCTAAGAACAAAGGACTGGGCTCTGAGGTCACTTCATTCTCACTATGACAAATGTGGGCTTGGCTACCTGTGACACCTTGAAGGGACAGGCACACAAGCTGGGTAAGGAACTCACAAACCAGGCCAATAGTACTGCTAATCCAGAATATTCTCAAGAAGGCAGTCATGATCATGAAAGTCAGGCACACAAGCTGGGTAAGGAACTCACAAACCAGGCCAATAGTACTGCTAATCCAGAATATTCTCAAAAAGGCAGTCATGATCATGAAAGTCCTTCCTGCTAAGGCACTCTGTGGACCCAGAATTACCACTTTAGTATATTTAGAAGATAAACTGGCATTTTTTTCATTTTGAAGTTTTTCTCAGGAACACATCACTGGTTTTTGGCCAAGTGATCATAAATCGTTTCACTGAATGGAGCAGATAATTCTAAAAAAGGATGAGGATGTGTAGCTCAGTGGTAGAGCACTGGCATAGCATGCAGGCCCTGTGTTCAGTCCCCAGCACAAAGTACAGATACAGATATCTCTACAGAACTAATAAAACTTCCTCTATAGTTCAAAAGAACATAGGATGACAGAGTGACACTTAATTCTGACACTGTGTTCCCTAACCAAGTTGAATAGTCTGAATCCTTTAGTTAGGAGCAAGAACAGCCTCCTATTAGCCCCCACCTGCCCCCCAAAAGAAGAAAGATTTTAGAATTAGCATTCTAAAAAATGTAACAGCTGAGCACACCTGCAGTCCCAGCACTTGGGAGGCAGAGGCAGGCGGATCTCTGTGCGGTCAAGGCCAGCCTGGTTTACATAGGTTCCAGGACAGGTGGGGCCACAGAGAGACCCTGCTTCAAAAAGACCAAAAAAAAAAAAAGTAACAGCAAGACCGGGTATGGTGACAAATGTTTGTATTCCCAGTTCTGAGACAGGAGGATTGCAAATTCAAGGCTATTCTAGGTTACTCAGGAGCTGCAGTGAAGGCTCAGCCCTCATGCAGCTGTTCCCCCACTGTCAGAGACCAGGGAGAGCAGGTAAGGAAAGAAAGAACAAATAACAAGAGTACCACACAGCTCACTACCCAGGACTAAGATTCCACATCGAGAAGGCCAATGGGAAATTGGCCTATTTACTACCTATTTACTACCACCTTTAGAAAAATACACTTGGATGCCGCATGGTGGCACACACCTTTAATCCCAGCACTTGGGAGGCAGAGGCAGGTGGAGATCTGTGAGCAAGGCCAGCCTGGTCTACATAGTTCTAGGTCAGCTGAGGCTAAAGGGAGACCCTGTCTCAAAAAGAAGAAACAAAAACAAAAGAAAAAAAATATACTTGGCCAAATTACTTAGCTAAATATTCACTGGGTAGGAAAATAAGTAGCAGGCAGGGAGTTAGTCCACGCTTCCCTATTCCTGCCTCAATGGAGAATACAGACCCAAATACCTTAAACCACAGATCACTTCTTAGCAACTCACACCTAAACTTACCTCAGTGCTTAAACAGGTTACACCAATGGGTATGAGGGTCCAGAGTTCAGAAGTGGTAACAGTAGAGGCTGGCACAGTGGTGCATGCCTTTAATTCTAGTACTTGGGAGGCAGAGGGAATGAATCTCTGTGAGATCAAGGCCAGCCTGGTCTATATATAAAGTTCCAAGCCAGCTGGGGCTACAGAAAGACCTTGTCTGAAAAAGAAGAAAAAAAAATGGAGAGATGGCTCAGCAATTAAGAGCACTGGCAGAGGACCTAGGTTCAATTTCCAGCACCCACATGGCAGCTAACAACCATCCATAACTCTAGTTCCTGAGGAATCTTGATGCCCTCCTCTACCCTTCTTGGGTATTGTATGACATGGGTGTACTTACATACATTCAGGCAAAACATTCATACTCATTAAAACAAGACAAAACAAAACATCCCAGGCATGATCGAACACTGGGAGGCAGAGGCAGGCAGATTCTTTGAGTTCAAGACTAGCCTGGTCCACATAGCAAATTCTAGGCCAGCCAGAGCTACATAGTGAGACTCTGTCTCAAAAACAAAACAAAAGCCCAAAATAAAACAAAAACAAAATTAAAAATCATGGTAACTCACCAGTCTTTGCTTGTAACTTATGAAAGTATTGAACAACCCCATGTACCTGTGAGAACTCAGGAGGAAACCTTCCCTAACCATCTCCCCTGGCCTCCAGCTACACTAGAGTCCTTACGAACATCGCTCCCCACATAGGACACAAGCTCAAAACACAAAATCACAGTAGGATACAACAGGACACCCAAACACATGCTCAGATCTCTTTTTGACCAGCTCTGAAGTCCTGCTTTAGGGAGATTTTGTTTTGAAAAATAAATTTCAAAAATCAAGCACATTTAAAACATTGGCTCTTGGTGATCAGAGTAGTTAAAAGTACTTTTATTATAAATTTCAGAATCTAAGAAGTAATTTTATATGACTGAGATAAATCTGAGATGACCTCTTATCAAGCTATGTGCTTTGCAGGGTGGCACTGTGGCCCTCGGGCCTGAGAGGACACACCCCACACTTCCTTGGGGGATGGGCTCAGCCAGATGAAAGGAGATTCTGCTGAGTCCCACTAGCTACATATTGGGTTCAGTCTCCTGATGTTACCCTGGTGTTTGGGCTGCCAAGTATTCAGGCCAAGAGGTCTCTTAACTCTGAAGTCCAGACAAGAACCTCAGCAGCAGCTTGGTCCTGAAATTCAAGTTTCTGTCCCCCATTTCTTATTTCAGTGATATCTAAAATTAAATGATGTTTATCATTCATTTCAATTATATTGCATTTGATAAGGGTTACAATCCAACTGGTTCTATAAGCCAAAGGATGACATTTCTTAGCATGTGGCAAGAGACCCACAGAGAAGCTGACGACCATTCCAAAGCCAAGTACTGGAAAAAATACACTCACCCAGGGCAAAGATGGTGAGTGTGCCACCAGAATCAAGTCACCATAAGCAAGTGGCTGCTGATAGTAAGAACTTGAAGAGACCTCGATTGGTCATGTAGCCACCCTCCTACTCTAAGACCAACGTCTATAGCCAATAAGGTTGGCAAATTGTGTCTCTTACACAGCTTCAACATATTTAACTTTTATGTTTGTCTTTTTGGGACAAGGTCTCCCCATCTAGCTCTGGCTAGCCTATAACTCAGTATGTAGACCAGGCTGGCAATCCACTAGTCTCCACTTCCCACATGCTGGGATTACAGGTGGGCACCATTACACCTGGCCTGGGTATTTATTTTAGAAGTTTCCTAAAGGCAGCATCTTTGCAAGATGGAGCTGTGGGAAGCTTCAGGGGCTTATTGGGTGTGGCAGAGGCACAGGCCGAGTCCTCTTCCACGGGGCTAGAGGACACCGGAGACATGCTGCAGTGCAATACCTGAGAAATCGTGGGATGCGGGAGAGCACCTCACACTACAGGACAGGAGCCAGAAAAAAGCAGCTGCAGGGAGCAGCAAGTTCACCTGGAAAGAAAACTCCAACAGGATGAATGCTGCCGGTCCCCAGCTGCAGAGTCCCCCAGGTGCTCCTAATCAAACCCTATCCTTTAAAGCAGTGGCCCTCAACAGGGGATGACTTGGCCCACGGGACATTTGGCAATTTTGGAGACATTTTTTGGCTGCCCTCGTTGGGAGTGGGGTACAACTGGCATTTAGTGGGTAGAAGCCAGGCATGTCACTGACCACTACACAATGCACAGGGCAGCCTCCTACAAAGAGTTACTGCGATGTCCACAGTGCCAAAGTTGACAAACCTGTTCTAGATGGGGACTCACTCTTACCATTCTGAATCTAGCCAAGGCCCTTAGAATGCCAATTAGGCCAATGTGAACTCTATCTCAAGCCTTATTTGTGAATCAAGCCATTGCCATGCTGAGCAAAAAAGCCCCAATTCTCCTAGTGTCCCATAAATGTCCAGTCAGCTGCTGGCAGTTTAAATTCCAGCTAATACAACTAAAGCCTTAGATCCATTCTGTCTCCTTTCTCTTCTGGGAAAAGCCGTTACTTCTTTCTTAGAGCCAGGGCAACTCCAACTGCCACTGCCAGGATGGCCACAGCAGCCGCCCCTCCAAACAGCAGTACGGCCTTGCCCTCGGCAGGCAGGGCAGCCTTTGCTGCTGCGACAGGGCTGGCCTCCCCAATACGGCTCTCCTTCCTGCCCGAGGCCTCGCTCGGCTGTGTGGCCTCGCCCACACCCCCCACCATGGCAGCAGGCCCCACTGCTGCTTCCAGCTCCTCCTCAGAAAGCTCCACAAACAGAGATGGAGCCGGGCTGGCTTCCCCAGCAGCCATCATTTCTGCAGTGGGTTCCCTGGTCTCCAACAAAGAAGTGGCAGTGATGTGCGGAAGTGAGGGCGTGGCGGCTCCTGGGAACACCTCTTGTGGCTCTCTGGCCACCTCCTCTGGAATCTCCTCCTTTTCCACATGCACGATGTCAGAGTTGGAAGAGTTGTTCTCACTCTTCTCTCCAGCTCCGTTGCTGTCTAAGCTTTTGACTTCTTCAGGGTCCATGGCAATCTGCTGCCAGGACTCAGGCCCAAGGGATACTGGGAGGCTTTCTGTGTGCCAACTCTGGCTGGCAGATAGTGACACAGGCAAGCTCTCAGACTGCCAAGAAGTTGTCACAGTTGGAGACTCTGGGGGACTGACTTGCCCAGAGTTGTCACTGGGCAGGATGTAAATGTCATTGCTATCTTCTGCAATGATGCCAGGGTATTCTTCCTCCTCAGACTCAAGACTGAAGACAGTGCCCTACAAAAGAGGGAGCCAATACAAAGCTGTTAATATTTTACATGTCAACCTAAGAAAAAGTATTTTTGCCTAGCTTCAAGTTTCAGAAATACACTGTCTAGACCAAGCAGTTTCTGAATGGAATATATTTATTTGAAGACCAATACAGAGTTTCTTTTATTTACTTATTTGTGGTTGTTGTTCTGAGACAGGGTCTCACTGTGTAGCTGTGGCTGGTCTGGAACTCACTATGTAGACCAGGCCAGGCTTCAACTCATAGAAATCTATCTGCATCTGCCTCCCAAGTGCTGGGATTAAAGGCGAGTGTCATCATGCTGAGCTTTATTTTTTTGAAACAAGTACTTGTAGCTACCACTTACCAGGCTGGTCTTGAATTTTTTTGCTTAAATTTTTTTTTGATTGACTGACTGACTGAAATGCGTGACTGTTTTGCCTGCATGTATGTAAGTGCACCATGTGCATGCAATGCCCACAGAGACCAGAAGAGCACTGAATCCCCTGGAACAGAAGTTATAGTCACCATATGGGTGCTAGGAACGAAACCCAGGTCCTCTGCAAGGATAGCAAGTGCCCTTAACTGCTGCGCCATCTCTCCACTCACAATGTTGTGCAACCTCACCAGTATTTATGTTAATTGTAAGGATTTTCACTTTTCTTCTTAAACAAGACTGCTGGTATTAAACAGTTATACTCATAATTAGATTGATCCTAAAGAAAACAGGGGTGAACAGGTGAAAACCTGCTCTGCAATAATTTTTTGCAGTGCTAAAAATAGAAAAAAAAAATTTTTTTTTGGTCTTTTTGAGACAGGGTCTCCCTGTAGCCCCAGCTGTCCTGGAACTCACCATGTAGACCAGGCTGGCCTTGAACTCACAGAGATCCGCCTCCCAAGTGCTGGGATTAAAGGCGTGCGCCACCACGCCCAGCTTAAAAATATAAATTAAAAAAAAATTTCATGTATTATTTTTAATTTATGTGTATGAGTGTATTGCCTGCATGTATGTGAGTGCACCCGTGTCATGCAATGCAGAGGTCAGAAGAGGGCTTCAGATTCCCCTGGAACTGGAGTTAAGGATGGTTCATAGCCACCATGTGGGTGCTGGGAATCAAACCCAGGTCGCTGAGCCATCTCTCCAGCTCCCCAAAATAGAAAACTTTAACCAAGAGGAGTAGGAACCCATGCAAAATACACACTCAACCAGAGCAGCACACACCTCAGACCAATGATTTTATTATTTATCTTCAAGAAGATTTTTGCCATTAATGCAGTCATCAAATCCCTCTTCCCAGTCATCAAATCCCTCTTGCCTAAAAGAGGCTTTCACAGATACTCTTGGAATCTTTCAAACTCTCATTATGTTTCAGCATGATGGGAATGGAAAAACATTCAACACTTCCAGGACCTTCATCAATAACGAATGCCAACGAAAAGCCCTTCACAACCAAATGCAGCACACAGACTATGCCAGTGGCAGAGCTAAGGAAGCTGTGAGAGCAAGCAGCCACCTGCCTCCTTCTCTCCCATCCGCTTACTTCTTCCTTTTATCATTCTCTTTTCCCACTGAGAACAACATATATCTCAATTTATTCCTAGTATATTCCTTTTTTGTTTGCTTTTTTTGTTTTTGTTTCTTTTGAGGTAAGTCTCATATAGCCCAAGCTGGCCTTGAACTCACTAGGTAGCTGAGAATGCTTTTAATTTTTTTTAATTTAGTTATTTTTAAATACTTCATTACTTAGTATTTTTGATATTTTATTTATTTTTATGTGTATGAGTATTTTGCCTGCATGTGTGTAAGTGTCTGGTGCCCTCAGAGGCCAGAAGAAGGCATCAGATCCCCTGGAACTGGAGTTATGGACACGTGTTAACCACCTTGTGGGTGCTGGGAACTGAACTCAAGTCCTTTGGAAGAACAGCCAGTGCTCTTAACCACTAAGCCATCTTTCCAGGCCTAAAAAGGTTTGTTTATTATTTATTTATTTATTTAGACAGGGCCTCACCATGTAACCCTGGCTGGTCTAGAACTTGCTACATAGACCAGGCTGTCCTTGAACTCACAGAGATCTGCCTGACTCTGCCTCCTAAGTGCTGAGATTAAAAGCATGTGCCACCAAACTGGGTTTAAATTATTTTCTTACATTTATTTTTTGGGGGTGAGGGGGCACACCCATTCCATGGAGCGCGCGCACGTGTGTGTGTGTGTGTGTGTGTGTGTGTGTGTGTGTCTAAGTCAGAGGACAACTTGAAGGAGTTGGCTCTTTCCTTCCACTATGTGGGTTCCAGGGATCAAACTTAGTCATCAAGCTTGGCAGCAAGCATCCACTTAGCCCCACTAGGTCCTAAGAATGACTTTGAGCTCCTGATCCTTCTACCTCTACCTTCTGAATGCTGGAAATACAGGTTTGTGGCACCACACCCAGCTCTTTTTTATTTATTTATTTATTTTTGGTCTTTTTGAGGCAGGGTTTCCCTGTAGCCCTAGCTGGCCTGGCTCACTATGTAGACCAGGCTGGCTTTGTACTCACAGAGATGTGCCACCACACCCAGCTTCTTTTTTATTTTTATTTTTTTGGTCTTTTTGAGAAAGGGTCCCCTGTAGCCCCAGCTGGAAGGGAACTCAAGTTATGTAGACTAGGCAGGCCTTGAATTCAGAGATCCACCTGCCTCTGCCTCCCAAGAGCTGGGATTAAAGGTGTGCCCCACCACACCTAGCTTCTTTATTTTCTCTAAGACAGGGATTCACCAGGAAGTCTGAGCTGACCTAGAACACACTATGTGTTGTTCACTATGTGTTGTTCACTTGAACTAGTGATCCTCCTGCTTCAGCCTCCTGAGTGTTGGGATCATAGATATGTACTATCATGCCCCACCTAAATGTATCTTAATAGATTTAAAATTTCTCAACATTTTTGGCTATTACTCTAATGAAAGTAATCACTATTTTTCTTAAATTTTTTTACTTTATTTATTTATTTATTCATTCATTCATTCATTTATGGTGTGCACACACCTGTGTGCATGCATGTACTATGACTCCATGGTTAGAGGTTAGAGGACAACTAGGTAGAGCTGGTTCTCTCATTCTGGGGATCAAAATCAGGTCATCAGGCTGAGTCATCTTGCTGGCCCTTACTCACTGATCTTCATCAGAACTGATTCACAGTTCTGATCCAGTGATCCAGTGATCCAGTGTGGAGATGATCTGTGATCCAATGTGGAGATGAAAAGCACCATTTTGCCACATGTGGTGGCATTTGCCCATCACCACAGTTGAGAGGCTGAGGCAAGAGGATTAAGAGTTCAAGGATAGAGTGAGGCGTGGTGGCACACGCCTTTAATCCCAGCATTCGGGATGTGAGTTCAAGGCCAGTCTGGTCTATATAGTGAGTTCCAGGACAGCTGGAGCTACAGGGAGACCTTGTCTCAAAAAAGACCAAAAAAAGAAACAAAAAAAGAGTTCAAGGATAAGGGTTGGAGAGATGGCTCAGTGGTTAAGAGCACTTTTAACTCCAGGTCCAGGGGATCTGACACTGTTGGCCTCTGGGCACTGCACATATGTGGTACACTTACATACATCCAGGCAAAATTCATACAAATAAAGACAAATAAAATATATTTTTGAAAAGAGTTCAAGGAGAGCATGAGTTGTCTTTTGAGTGAAAAGAAAGTTTTTCTAGCCCACACAAGGACCTGGGTTTCATCCCCAGCACCACAAAACAAACAAACAGAAGAAAGATGCTGATAAATGGAAAGTCAAATATTGGTGTCTGTCTGGATATAGAAGATTGCCTTAGCTCATAAATAATGTATCAGCCCTCATTGTTGAGTCTAAGAGCTTGGTTCTCTTTAGAAGAAAATTCAATTCCCTGCCTCCATTACGGCTCCCCTTATTGCCCATCAAGATCTCTGAGCAGAAAACCTGACTCTAAGGTACTATCTGGCCACTGGATGACAGCTTGGTTCAGTTTTATAAAAAACAGTATTTCTCTATATAGAATATTTAGAGTAATACTCTAAAACAGAGTATTTCAAATCTAATGATCTGACTCTTCCAGTTAAAAGTCAAAGCCATACAATATTTAGAATACATTATCCTTCTTGAGCACTTCTGTGCTTTCCCCTGAAACAAAACATAAAAATCTTAAAGGCACAGTAGTATTAGAGGAAGTAAAACCTTTCTTCTCTATTCCTAGGATCAACTCTTCTCTTCTCTTCTCCCCCCGCTGGAGATGAAACCCAGGGCCTTGTGTGTACCAGGCAAACACGCTCAGTCAACTATATTCCCGAGTCCTGCTGCTATAATCATGTATGCTATTATTCGTAACATACAGAGAAGGAAAAAGCAATCTGCAAACACACACACAGATTTCTCCCTTTCTATTGAAGCTGGGTATGGTAGCATATATCTGGAATCCCAACATTCAAAAGGCTGAAGCAAGAGGACCATGAGTTTGAGACTAGCCTGGACTACATATTAAGACACTATCAAACAAAATAAATCTCTATACATAAAAGCTGTATAGCATATTAGGAGAAATTTCAGACTCCCTGAAACTATGCATGGATCCTCATTTAAGACTCCTGATCAGCTGGGTATGGTGGCACACACCTTTAATCCAGCACTTGGGAGGCAGAGACAGGCCAAGGCCAGCCTTGTCTACAAAGTGAGTTCCAGGACAGCTGGGGCTACAGGGAGACCCTGTCTCAAAAAGACCCAAAAAAAAAAGACTCCTGATCTGAGTCCACCGAGGTCTGACTTATATAGAGTCCCTTCAGGACCACTGTGCACAACGTGCCTCCCGCCCCCCACCTTTTTGAGACAGGGTCATCTTATGTAGCCTGGCTCGCCTGGAGTTCCCTAAGTAGACCAGCCTGGCTTTGAACCTGCTTCTGCCTCCTGAGGGCCGGGATTAAAGGCGTACACCACCATTTCCAGCTAGTCCTCTTATTTCTCTTGAACTTCTACATGGTTCTGGGTCTGGGTCACATAAATCATAAT